GGGGGGGGGGGGGGGGGGGGGGGGGGTACTTTCCATGCTGAGCCCCCGGGGGCCGTGAGCTCTGCGAGCCAGACGCAGTAGGGTCTGACGACTGCCATCTGGCTGCCCTATGCCTCTGAGCAGTAAATACAGGGATCCGGACTCAACACGGGATGTCTCCAACATGGCTAGCACATGCTTCCGTCATGCACTAGTAACAGGCTCCCTGTGCCAGATGCAGGAGCAGCCAGATCCTGTGCGAGCCCCCGGGGGCCGTGAGCTCTGCGAGCCAGACGCAGTAGGGTCTGACGACTGCCATCTGGCTGCCCTATGCCTCTGAGCAGTAAATACAGGGATCCGGACTCAACACGGGATGTCTCCAACATGGCTAGCACATGCTTCCGTCATGCACTAGTAACAGGCTCCCTGTGCCAGATGCAGGAGCAGCCAGATCCTGTGCCAGGGCCCCTGCCTTAGCAGAGGGGGATGGAAAATGGGAAGACAGCTAAGAAAGGGAGGCCAGCCTAAAGACATGGGGGAGGGGCTCTGAATGGGCGCGGGGTCTTGGGGGCCAGAGGGCTCGGGTTCTCCTTACCCCACAGGGGCAGAGTTGGGGGCCTCCCCAAGCACCGAGGTTTCATACGTGGAGGTTGATTCTGCTCCCTTCTCCCTCTGCAGGATCTTCAGCCAGACATCCCTCTCGTCGTCCGAGTGGGTCTGCACCGGAGAAGGGGATGGAGCTCAGTTATCTCCTTGGGGCCAGAATCATCAGGGAGGGGCCAGCGAGAGGCCCTCCTCTGGGGACCGGCATCAGCTGGGCAGCGAGAAGGGCAGGACAAGAACTAGGAGCGACTGGGCACATGCCTGTCTACTGGTGGTGCACATCCGCACACGCCTTGGTGCACACAGATTTATTCCGCGCATGGATGGCAATAGAGGGAATACGGGCCGGTTCGCGCAGCAGCACCACACACCTGCAGGACAACGACCTCTCTGCCTTGCTGGCTGAGGTAGATGTGACGGCGCTGGCCTGCGTCGGCCCCTGGGCTCACGTCGCTGCCCGCCAGCGGCACAGCGTATTCGGGGCTCTCGGTGCAGCCGGGGTCTCTGAACATCCGCACGGCGCCCTGCTCCACCCGGCACCAGAGCTTCTGCCACTGGCCGGTCCGCTGCACGTC